AAACACTGAACTAGAAAACACCAACATTTTTTTAATTCTTTTGCTAATCTTACCTGGCAAGCAGATAAACTGTGCAATTCTATTTTCATAGAACTGTGCAATTCTCTAGCAAATACACTAAAGAGGTAGAGCTCAAGCAGGTGAAGGTTTGTGAAGCCAGTTCTTCGGAAGAGGCTCTCTCCTTAGGCAGTCAGCTCTAGGTCTGGCTGGCCTTCCCTCTGCTTTCAGACTTACATTTGCACTAACATTATTACTTTCCACATCAACACAGTGCCCAGCTCCGTTTACACTGGTATGCTTCCCAACATAATGCTTTGGCTTTTACCATGATACCAGATCTGTCCCCTGGATTCTGGTACTTTTGCAGGGCTCGCCTCGTACCATCTGGTTCTTGGCAGGCTGTGCCTAGGCTCAAGACCTGGCAGGCCAGATGCTGGGGCTGTTGTGAGGCAGAGAGCATAGTTCACTTTTAGATGCGATGTGACCATCTTGCTGAATCCTTAGGTTATTTTTTCCTAAGTTGGCCAAATATTAAGCAATGACTCAAAAAACGCACCCTGGTAAAATCTGTTCAAGTGCATAAAATCATACAATGTGTTGCTGATTTCCTCTTCTGCAGCAAGGCACCAGCCTTTCAGGCACACGAAGTGTAAAGAGCCTTGCAGCTTTCAAATTTACAGCTGTCCAAATCAAATGTGCAAACTCAGTGGAGTTTGTTTATTTAATTCTGCTTTATAATACCCTTAACTTGATACCAAGTAAAAGAAACAATCTGGCAAAGACATCATTAAACAGATTAATAAGGACTGGATGACTCATTTTGTTTGAACAAATGGATTATTTTGCAATCAGAAGTACAAATGTTAACCAGCTTTATTTTTAGTTGAAAATGTCAAGAGGTCAGAAACAATTAAAGCAACTGTAAGGTGGGAGTACCCAGAGTTTGTGTTCTCTTGGATTTACACCTTGCTAAAATTGCTTTTATTGCAGCTTAGTGACTTACTAACATTTTTCTGATAAGATAATGGGAAATGACTGTGTAGGCATATTTACTGGTAAGAAGAGATTAGAGTCAAACAGAAATGGAGCATACTTTTCATTTTAACAGAACAAGAGCTGGAAAGCTGAGAGGATCTGCTTTTTCCTTGCATGAGTTCAAATGTAGTGATTGTATTTTAAAAGGAATGTCTGACATGCTTAGGACTTTCATGTCAGCTCAGAATTCACTGTTTCGAATATCAGCTGCAAGATATTTCATGTTGCAGTTCCTTCTTTGAAAGTTTATTGTGTTTAGAGACAAGAGAATGTGATGTTAAAGTGCAAAGAACACATACTGCAGCTCAGCAGCAGGACTGCTTCGAGAACAGGCACTTTGGCATCAGGAGGTGCTGCTGTTGAGCCTGTCCCTTGCAAGCCATGCACTAGCAAGGTTGGAGGCAAGTTTAGGGGAGAATGTTCCTTTTGCTGCTCCCAGTGTCAGGGGGTTGGAATTACTGGCCCTATGTAATTAGGCACCATGAGCTCACTGGTGCAGCATCTCACTCAGCCTGTTCCTGGTGCACCCAACATAGCAGAGGCACCACCTGAGTCACCTGCAGGGCTGTCATCTCTGGTGCGGGTGCTCTGCTGGGGGTCACCGTGGAGCTTGTGTGATTCCAGGAGGATGGCAGGAGCCAATGGCCCAAGGGGGATTGGATGCTCTGTGCCAGAGGTGCTGGTGGTGATGGACAATTCCAGTATTGCTCTGCCTGCTGTTGCATCCACCGGCTGAAACTTGCCTTGTGCTCTCACTGGTGCCTGATCTGCTTCTTTTCCCCAGCTGGAACACCTTGGTAACTGTGTGTTCTCTGTAACAGGTCCGGATCGAGGATGACATTGCAGTGACAGCCAGTGGAATGGAGCTGCTAACCTGTGTCCCACGTACTATTGAAGAAATAGAGGCTTTCATGGCAGAAGGCCAAAGTAGTGCCAAGTCATTTGAGTGCCTCTCCAACCAAAAGCAGTAAACTTGAGGATGATAGTTACTGTCTAAGCTAATCACTCATCATTCTGATTTAATGCTGCAGCATATACAGTAAAACACACCAAATTCTTAATAGCAAGAGAGGTAGGCAGGCTATTAGCTGGAATGATCCATTCATTAAAAATGAAGGTAGAAGGCTTCAGCACTTGATATCCAAGTAACTCAAATACTGCTGCTTCCCATCAGCAGTTTACATTGCCAAGTACCACCTGAATAACCCTACTGCATTAACAGTGGGACTTATATTTCTGTCAGATCCCATCTCAGCCATATCTTGCGATTAAATCTGAATTTCGGTGATTTGGACTCTAATTATCTGAATGCTGTCAGCAGTTGTAACAATCTAAGTCCTTTTTTGAACTTCATCCCAGGTACTGTGAAAATCATAGAAGAAAAAACAGCTGTTCTCAGTGAACATGACACATTTTTCTTACAGATCTTGTTTCAGTGTCAATGGAGTACACAGAATCAAATTTTTATTAAAATTACCCTTGGCATCATCTATGCTCACAACTTCGTGATCATTATGCTCTTCTGCTCCAGTTCCTGCTTCTTTATCTGACCTTTCTACCAATTTGTGCTCTGGAAACTTTGACCCGTCATTAGCTAGATCTGTCTGCTCTGGGTAGTGGGCATACTGATCCTTAACACACAGCCCAATGCTTATTAGATTTGTCCATCTGTTTGTTCCTTAAAAATGTTGATTGCTGTAGTATTGAAAACAAGCCTTAGAAATAACAAGAAGGGAGAATCTTTGCTGCAGGGCTCATGGTCACTCATCAGCATATGCTGTGCAGAATGGTATTTTTAACTATCCAGTGTTAGCCGCTCACAATGAAATCACGTCAGCTTTATTTGGATACACCACAAATATAGTAATAAAGATCATAACTTAAATTTCCATTCATGCAAGGTTTAAATTACCCAAAGGGACCTTTCTTTACTGTAGGTGTTCATCAGCCTGCAGGAGAATAAATACATTTCTTGCATCATAAAATAGCACTAGTTGCTGTAACTACATAAAAATAATCTTGGTCACTTTATGAACACATCAGACTACTGTTTGGTCTTCAGGCTCTGTTGCCCAGTTTGAGTGCAAAGCTGCTTCAGAATGTCTGTCTGCCATGCAAGGGGGGACTGAAATCACAACAGGATGTCGGGGGCTTTCAGGGTCATACCACTTGCCCGATGAGAGTTTTCCCATTGTGAAGGTTGACTTGATTACCTCGGTGTTGCAGTTCTGTTGCTCACATGTCACTTTATTAACAAATGAGTCCATTTACATTTTTTTAAAGGTTGCTGGGCACTGGTTTGTAAGAGGTAAGTGCAGGAGGTCTTGATTGTGAAGGAGAAGGGGCAAGAAGGGAGGGTGTGGGATCTGTAGCTCATATTTGCAACTGCACTAATGCTTCCTTCTGTGATCAAGTGTCATGCCTCTGAAATGTAGTACTTGTGCAGAGGACATCAGGCTTTGCTTTGATAGCTTTGCAGATTCACAAACATAGAAACTACACTAGCACTGCTTCAGAGTTGTCTGTCCCTAAAACTGGGGAGGTTTTTCCAGTGCAAGACAGTGCTCGTGGCCTCAGCCCTCTTCCAAGTGTTTTCCTGCTCTGAACACACCCATGGGATCACTCACTGCTTTGGGCACTCTGAAACCTGCTGTTGCTTGGGTTCAATTTCCAAGTAACACCTCAGAGATTTAAAAGAAAAAAAAAAAAAGGAGTTTTGGAATTGTTTCAACTAAGCTGTAACCCCAGTCTAGTTAATAGGCCTTTCCCTGCCTGTGATTATCTTGGCAAATATTGGCCTCTGCTGTTGCAGAACAGGTCGAGCAATCTGGGATGCTGCAGGAGGCAGAACTGGTTCTGCTTCAACATGTACCAGCGAACAAACCCTGCCATGAGTGAGTTGTGGGGAGAGCACTTGCTCACGCAACCAGCCGCTCTGTTGTTTGCTTGCCCGAAACATGGGTGCGTTTTGGGCTGGGACGGTGCACTGTCTCCCATTTTCCTTCATTATCAGGCCCGTGAACTTGGTGAATATGAATTTCATCTTTCCTTCCAGAAGTCTGTTCTGTAATTATGATAATTTTTATCCAGTTAAGAAAAAAGTGAATTAGAACTTTTTTCTAAATTGTGTGTGTGATTGTGATGCAGGGAATTAAACCTTTTAATAATGACAAAGTGGTATTTAATACACTTTAACCGTATTGGGGGGGGGGGGGGGGGGGGGGGGGGGAGAAATACAGGTTGTGGCAAACTTTCTTTTTGACTACATTAGGATATTTTAGGCTGTTTGTTAGCTATGTTTTCCCAAATGCTTTTCCCCTTGGTGCAAACAGACTCAAAGTGGCACCAGAATAACAGTGTGTTACGTTGAGCAAGTTGCTGTGTTTAGAAAGGGCTGAGTGCTCCTGAACCCGTCTGTTTAAACTGTGTCAGCTCCCTGGGGTTGGATGCACTTGGGATTTATCTGCAGGGTATAATTAAAGTGGTAGATCCTCCTAGTGCTGGTGGAGTCTAGAGTAGCAAAAAAATGGGAATGTTGCCTGGTAAAATGTATTGTGCTCCTTCTTCTAGTGACAAGCACTGTATTCTGTCACAGACTATAGCTGTTAAGACAAATGTGTCAAAAAGGAAAACCTGAACTTTTATAGGCCTACTATGAAATTTTCTTGTGTAGATGCAATTTTCTTGTTTTTAGGAAGGAGTCATCCAAGTCACCTGCCATGGGTGTTCTGTGTTTTGCAGTGGCATTTTGCTGTCACACAGCCTGGGCTGCTCCACCCTGGGGCAGAGCTGGAAAGCCTCACCTCTGCCTTTGCCTCTCAGAGGTCTGAGACAGACTGGTCTCATAGACTGGTTTGGGTTGGAAAGGACCTTATAGCTCATCTAGTTCCAACCCCCTCCTACAGTCAGGGACACCTTCCACCAGACCAGGTTACTCCAAGCGCCTGTGCCCAACCTGGCCTTGAACACTGCCAGGGATGGGGCAGCCACAGCTTCTTTGGCCAACTTGTGCCAGTGTTTTACCACGTTCAGAGCAAGGAATTTCTTCCTAATAGCTAATCTAAATCTCTCCTTTTTGGCAGGCGGAGCTTAGAATAATAGACTGACATTTTCCTTCCAACCAAACTCTGAGTACAGATTTAATGTAATAATTTGTTATAATCTTGGGTTCCTGACTTCACATATTAAAGTGATATGCGGCACACAGCCTACACGCTTCCCTAGGCAATCAAAGCAAGCGTGGAGACTGCCAAGCCAGAAATGCCACTGTGCAAACAAATGACTTTTCAACTAACTCAGTGGTTTTATTTTAGACAAGAAGGAAGTGGAATCAGAGCTGTCAGGAGTAACAGGTGGAGAAGGCACCCACCAGAGCATCAGAAAGATTATTACTCCTACTCAAAGATATTTAAGAAATCATTTGGAGTCCCTGTTGTGGTTATTAGGGGAAGATCCAACACCAGCCAGTCAACAAGGCCATGTAATCCCAATTCACAGAGCTGACAACTGACAAGCTCCTGGCCTTTGCATCAGAGTAGGCAGACAGTTAAAATAAGGTGCTTTTCACATCATCTTTTTCCTTGTAGTTTTTGGTGTTCTGTTCCTCCCCCTTTTAATTGCAGTACATTTTCAGTCTTAAATTTCTTTTGGTTTTGTTTTCTTGGTGTGTTGTTAGCATTGTTTTTAAATCAGGAATTCAGCCAAAAGTGTAGCAAGGTTTTGATTCTTTCCATTCAGTAAAAACCTGTGTGGAAGACAGAAAGGGAGTCTGTTGCACTGATTTCTCAATGATAGCTGCTTGAGGTAGGCACCTCTGCATTTGAGGAAAATACAAAAGGGACAGGAAAAATAAGGCCAGCACTTGAAGCAAAAGGGTTTTATTAGCTTCTGATATTTCAACCCTACCTACTTAAGCTGCAGCTAGAAACAACAAACAAACAAACGTATCTTTGTAAAAAGACTGCCAAACAATCCATAAAAGTTTTCCACATGTATTAAAAGTTTAAATTCAAAATAAAATTGTCAAGGTTTTGTTTTCTAACAGCATCTTTATGGAGATAATATCCACATTCTCTTCCTAAGTACAGATACAAGGCAAACAAGCATCCTACAAAATAATCTCTAGAAAAAGGTAGTGTAGGAGGGAAATTAAGACAGTGTAATAATCCACTAGCCAGACACACAGGTTAAATGTAACACAACCATACCATCAATGAAATACTTTAAAATGAAAATAAATTAAGGTTACATCAAAGTTCCTGCTTTACCTGTATTCTTCAGATCCTCAATATAGAACATATCACTGCATTATGGATCATGGCAAAGACCTAGCACTAGCATTAAAAAAGTTGCTATAGAAAAACTTTTATGAAAATAAAACAAGACTGAAGATACTCCTTCACACAACTGTATGATGGCTATAGGAATTCCACTGAATCAGTTCTTCAAACTAGGGCCGTTTAGTTTTAAAACCACTCCAAATACAAGATTTTAGTTGTAAATCTGAGCAGCTATGAAAATGGAGATGAATGTCAACAAGCAGTGATCCATTCTGGCTGAACAGATGCTATCTTACCCCTTTCATTTCTTATCCAAGCCACACATTTTGTTCTTCCCAATACCTGCACCCCAGCAAGAATGCAATTTTGCAGAGCACAGTTTTCTGGTAGCATTTTGACATTTTGTGAAAACCAGAATCTTGTTCTCATAAGGCCCCAGTCAGTGTGTGAGCAGTGTGAACACAGGCTTAGAATTAGGCTTTGTTACACTGCTGCTTTACCTCTTATACATGATGCTTCAGACCCACTTGCCATTTAGAAGCCAACTGCCTGTATATATCATCATAATATAGTGCTATTTTTCTAGAAAACATCAGCGTCTCAGCTCACTATTACTACACACCCTCCCCATTAACTATAAGAGGGCAGTTAAGACCAAGTGGTGCTTTATAGGACTTGCTTTACAGATTTAAAGTTGTCCACCACGTAGGAAACCAAACACCCTCCACGGCCTTTGCAGTTCTGTAATATGTAATGGGGAAAACAAAGGTCCTAAATACACTTACTTAAAGGTATTTAAAAGACATTTTATCCAATTATGAGTTCCTGATACTACAGTGAACCATCCTGCTGGATTCCTCCCATTATGCAAACTATAAGAAGGTAAGTGAACATTTCTGTGAAAATGCTATTTCCCTAATACTAAGCTCCTTGTTGGCTATGAATTTAGATCTGCATTTATCAGATACATCTTTTAGAGGAGAAAATTACTTCAAAATGAATACCATAAGCAGTTTCTGGTTTAATTGTGTCAAACCTTCAGTGTTAAACCTAAAAAGAAGAAAATCGCCACAAAATGATAGGTAAAAGAATGGAGTTTTTGCTTGGTTACTGCATGGGCATTGCAGACAAGCTGCACCTCGAGAGTTCATTTCATAATGTTGCAACAGTGTTTACTGCCCATCGTTTTCTGGATTTGTTGTGGTGGTTTCAGTGCCAACAGGTTGCACATTGTCTGCAAGGCTGTGTGCGTGCTCGAGGAACAAGTCTTTCAGTACGCTCAGCTCCTTGGTCAGGAGCTTAATTTTTGCCTCTAAACGTTCATTTTCTTCTTTGAGCTGGTTGACCCTTTGTAGCGTGTCTTGTGCTTTCTGCTTGCTTTTTAACCGGCTCTTTTTCACTGCCATGTTGTTTCGCTCTCTGCGCTTACGATACTCATCACTGTTCCTGTCCACAAAGGAATTTTTCTTTCCCTGTTTGCTCGGAGGCACAGCTTTACCTCCACCACCAGGACTAACAGGCACCAGCTGGGGAACCTGCTGCAAACCACTGGTGTGTGCTTGGGTGTGAATCACACTTACTCCATTCGCATCTGTACTGGTGTTCTGTTGGGATGTCTTGCTCATTTGGACAGGCTCTTCTTGGACACAACAGAATTATTAGGAGACTGAATATGATTATGTTTCTAGAAGGTGTTTCCAACAGGTCTTCACATGGATTACGGGCAAGATGAACCTAGTAGGAACAACAACCACAAAAAAAAAGCTATTAAAGGTGCTGGCTTCAGCTACAACCTTATACATCACTAGCTTGTAGCATAAGGGACTGATGGTACATCTGGCAATAACACATCACAACTGTGCTGGAAGTGGACAAGCTGCCAACTGCATTTCAGAAACCTCTCGAATGTATTTGGATTGGAAAGGACTGTTACTGGGTCATCTAGTCAAGCTGTTTGTATTGTTCACTGGCTTTACTCAGTTATTCCAAAGCCATCCCTGACGGATGGGTGTCTAGCCTAGCCTTGAATATCTCCAGTTTCACAACCTCTGTCTTGGCAACAGGTTCCACTGTCTAACTTTTCCTCCAGTTATATAATTTTCTTAATTTTCAGACTGGAGTTTTCCTTCTGCAGTTTAAACCTATTAACAGCCTGACTCTTGACCAACAGGACTACTTGATCTTTGTCCTCTTCAGACCATCCCTCTGGGTGTATGCACAGACAGATTCCTCCCTGGTCTCTTTTCTCTGGAGTGAGGGTGCTCAGACTGTCCACCTTCCCTCGAGCATCTTAACAGCACTTGCTCCTGAAGATGATGTCCACATCGATGACTGTTTTAAGATCTTACCAAGTAGAAAAAAACACTCTATGCAAAAAGGTAGTGTGCTGTGAAGGCTGTGACTGAGTGACATTAAAGGATCCCCTTTACCACAAGCAAGGTAAGACAAGCTAAACTTGTTAACAGTACTGTAACGAGCCAGTGGCACTGAAATATAGGGTGATGGCAATGTGAGAATCACTACACTGCAAAGCCAGAGGACTGTTGCCACCCATAGGAAGACAGCAGCCGCAGCTGACTTGTCAACAAAATATATTCCCCTGCTGTAGCTCCTGCACCAGTTTTTGCTCACTCTTCTTTCCAGCAAACAGGCCTGACAAGCGGGACACCCTCTCACCTGTCTCACATTCTCCCGCTGCTGCAGTCAGCCTGCTTCTGACCCTACTGGTGGCACAAGGAGGACTCCAGCACAGCTGCTGCCAGGACATGGCCCTGGCAAGGCCAACAGCTGCTCCCCTTCACTTCCCATCTCACAGGATGACCTCCTAAATGCCTAGGAGAGAAGTCTGTGAGAGAAAAGGGGAAGGGCAACAAGGTTCTTCTAAATTCCTGAAACATCTATCTACCTATGGCTCCAGTGATGAGTCAAACAAGTGCTGGTTTCTTATCATGTTAAAGAAAAGTATCTAACTGGTATGAAACAATCCTACTCCAAGATCGGATTCCACTGCAGCAGTGCAGCTCTCTGCTCTGTCACACACATGCAGTATCACATGACTAGTGTTCAACATCCTCCTTGCCCATCCTCAAGAGGACCTGCTGGGACAGCAGGCAGTTGAAGTTAGTGGTGAGCAATGTTAACAGCAGCATCCAATCCGGGGATTATGCCTTTCATCAGTAACAGCACAAGAGACAGATGACTGCACTCCTGTGTCTACCTGATGAATGGAAATGGTGAGGTGTTTGTAAACAAAACTGCTGTGTGTCACTGGTCTTTCTAAACTCACAGGTTCAAGTTCATCATCTGTTTACTGGTCTTGTTTGTTTCTCTCAGCAGTCCGAGCTGCTGGTTTACCTTCTCCTATGGTATCATTAAAAAGGTTAAAATTCTGTCTAGATAAATTTCAAATTTTTGTTTGTACTAAGGGAGCCAGAACAAGAGGCAGCTGCTGTGTAATTCAGTAAAATTCACAGAAAAGCCTAGCAAGTTTGGCTTGAATATTATTCAAAACTAACATTCTCTCACTGCAAAGTCTTCTCGCTTTGAACAAGTGACGTATGAGTACGCCCACATCGCTTCTACCAGGAAATCTTTTCATTTTTGGATTTCAGAGTAGAAAGTGACCATCAACTCTTTTTGATATCTGCATAGCTAAATATAAATACCTGTCTAACCTTTGTATTTAGTATTTTCCTGATTTCAACTCTTAAAGCAGCTTTTGAAAACTACATAAAGTCTTAGATTCTGATCAAATTAACAATTTGATTCAGCAATTAAACTGAATATACAGCTAACAAGATGTCACTGCGCAAATACCAGACTGGCAAGGCCAGTTGTAGTAGCTGTGCATGGGTGATTGCATAGATATTGTTAGTCAAAATGCAAGTGTATGTTCTTCTTGAAGCATATACTGGCTTCATCTCAGCTTTAAATACAGGATTTCTGTAGTCCTCAGAGAGTATATAGATAGCTCTGTTAGACTGCCTATGACAGCTGAATTTTTCCACTGATTTTTAGCATCTGATTCTCAAAGTGACAGTATACTCTCCTGTCCATTTCAACAGATTACAGTGCTTGGTAACTTCATCTGGACAGCCCAGCTAAGGAACCCATACCATTTTCATGATCTGTTTCATGTGCTTCATGAGATACTACAGCGGAAGGGGAGGATCCTGCCCCCAAAGGCACCCCACCCCATGCGCGACAAGTTTCTTCACATCGCTAGGTTCCATGTGCTGTTTCTCTCTACACTACTGAAATCTTTAATATTGCTTTAACGGTCCCTTCAGATCTCTATCATATTCCCCTGTAATTCAAAGGGGAAATTATTTGTTCCATTAAATCAAATTTTAATGGAGTATTTCAGTTGGGCAGTACACAGGTACGAGCAGAGAAGATGAACCAGTGTCACATCTCTCAAGCAAGCATTCCAGCCCTGCTAGAACAGATGTCCCTTGATTCTTTCCCACTGGACCTGATCCATATTGTATCAAGTAACCATCTAATAAGTGAGACACACTCTTATCTAGCTTGACGATCAGAACTCTTACCTGGGAGAGATGACACATGGATACCTGTCCTGTTCCAACTAACATTTATGCAAAGCAAGCAGCACTAACTGCACTGTATCACAGATAACCCAGGAGTGGTAACAGCTGAGGGA